CGATCGACCATCATCTGGCTTCGATCGACCATCATCTGGCTTCGATCAACCCTCATCTGGCTTCGAGCGACCATCATCTGGCTTCGGTCAACCTTCGTCTGGTTTTGGCCAGCCATCCAACGGATTTAATCAGCCTTCGTCTGGCTTCGATCGACCATCATCTGGCTTCGATCGACCATCATCTGGCTTCGAGCGACCATCATCTGGCTTCGATCAACCTTCGTCTGGTTTTGGCCAGCCATCCAACGGATTTAATCAGCCTTCGTCTGGCTTCGATCGACCATCATCTGGTTTAGACCGACCATCATCTGGCTTTGATCAATCATCACAATCCACCTCATCACGTTTTCCAGAAAGTAGTCTACCTAAACCAGGTACTTGTGGAACTGAAATACTTGGCGACCGCATCGTAGGTGGCATGGAGACTGCGCTTGGTGAATATCCATGGTAATTAGTTCCAAATGAGTTCCTTTTTTGTTCAATTCACATATATTGTTACAATTCACAGGTTGGCACTGATCGAGTACACGAGAAGTAATTAATTGATTTGAATTTTTAAAGAACAATCCCTAAGTTATTTCTGAATTGCAGGTGGATATCAAGGTCAATTTTTCTGTGGCGGATCGCTTATTAATGAAAAATACGTGTTGACTGGTTTGTCTGATCAAATTCATTCGTAATCGTTGTGAAATTAACATGAATCTCATTTTATTGCAGCTGCGCATTGCATAAAATCAAAAAGTGTGGTTCAAAGCCGATTCAAGCCGACATCAGTTCGATTGGGTGAACATGATACGCGCACTGAAGTTGATTGTGTTGATGTAAGTGTCACTTTTTACATTCCACTTGAATTACTCAAATGATTTTTCAATAGAAAAGAAATGTGTCATTTCTGGCAAGCCTTTATCGTCTTTTCATTGAATAACACTCGTGTTTTTCTCTTACGAAGGGTGACTGCGCTGATCCAGCAATCGATGTGCCAATCACTGAGATTATTGTACATGAAAACTATGCGCCCGACTCTCAATTACAAAATGATGACATCACATTGTTGCGTCTTGGACGACAAGTTTCATTTACCGATTTCATTCGGCCGATTTGTCTTCCAATTTCGCGCACGTTAAGAAGCCAAAACCTCGATCGGTATCCATTGTTTACGAGCGGTTTTGGAAAGACTGAAAAAGGTACGTGCAATTGGATAAGCATAAAAACTGAGTGAAAACTCACGATACATCGATTTTACAGGTTCGAAGAGCGATGTGAAATTAAAAGTTGAAGTGGATGGTTTCAATTGGGATCGATGCAATGAACTATACAGAAAATCCACTGGCATTCGTTTGATTCAATCACAATTGTGCGCCGGCGGCAAAGATGGTAAATATATGTTTGGTTCTTGTTCCACTACAAACTAATACTTAATTCATCTTAATTTCATTTTCTATGGCAGGCGAAGACAGTTGTCAGGGTGATTCTGGTAATGAAACACATTTTAACTATATTATTTGATTAGAATTGTGCTGACGATTTTCTTTCTCCATGAATAATCAATCAGGTGGTCCATTGATGGGACTCGACAAAACCGCTCAGGTGCCATACACTTATTTGGCTGGCGTTGTATCGTTCGGCTTATCGAAATGTGGAACACCAGACTTTCCAGGAGTCTATACACGAGTCGACCAGTATTTGGATTGGATTCTGAATCATATGAAGCCTTAAGATAACCACTCTTTTCATGTGCTTTTGAACGATTTTAATTTGATAAAGAGAAATAAATTGAGTATTTTATCGATAAATTGAATCGAATAGAAAATATAACATTTGGACATGTGTTAAAGTTGATCATCATCGTGAATGTTTTTTGCTTCAGATTAGGTAGAATTTCATTGTTTTGTGATCTCCAGAAAAACGTAGAACTTAAACTGTGCTGGTTGAGCCGGATATCCGTAAACTATTCTTGATTGCATTTCAAATGCGTTGCTGGCTTGTATATGCGAATAAGCAATCAAAACTATAATGAGTAAATGTCTCATTTTGACTGTAAAATTTGAACAAAAACACTTGAAACAAACCGGAGCGGTTTGCACAATTGCTTCGAGTACAATTTGGTTTATCGAACACAAATTTTTCTACCGTATAAAAAGAATGAAAAACCAGACAATGTGTGTAAATGTTTCTTAGTTGAAAGTACTCCAAATTTCAGTATCTTTCCAATGATATCTCGAGTGCTTCAGCTTTGATTCAAACGCTTTTAACTCGAAACTTAAATGGAAGAAATTTATCAATTTTTGAATGTAGAGATTTTTTATCTTTTGCCAGACATTCCGAGAAACAACATTTTTGTGAATTTGCGCAGATTGCGAAACGGTTTTGGAATTGCCAACCTTTTGATTTTGATGTGAAATATATGTATACCTTGTAATCAACTCATGTAATAATGAAAATAGATAATTCGAAGAAAAACGGTTTATTTAATAAATATTTGTGTGTACAAGTTTTGCGATAATTCGAAAATTCAAAGCGAGTTGCTAACCATTTCGGCCAATTTCGGTTTATACAAATTCTTGTATTACGAAATCTGGTTGATTGGCAATCAACAAGTCGGAGTGTTCAAACGGGTGTAATGATTAATCCAGCTGAGATAAGGGTATACATTTGTGAATCCTTGCGGCAGGCCTTTGTCACATCCATCTGTAAAACGCCTAAATGGCATGAATGATACGATTTATATCAAAAATTTCAATTATTTGTCATTTCTTTACCGCCGCTTGAAATTCCAATCAAAGTGCCATTGGCCCGCGAGACTAGTGGACCGCCGCTATCATCTCTATAAAATGAAAAAATCTTATCATAACTAAAGCCCATGGCAAGCATTATCCAAAAAATTACCTGCAAACCGATTGACCTTTAACAGCATTTTGAGCGCAGATAATTGTTGTATGTTTTGAAGAAACTGGAAACGTATCACGACAATCGGCTGGCGAAAGAGTTTTCAAGAAAGAAAAAATCAACTCATTACATGTACTGGCATCATCGCTAGTTATACCATGGCCCATGGCAAAAGCGTCAATATTATGTAATGTTGATTTGCATGCGGTTGGTAATTTTACCGGTTGAATATGCTCTGAAAACAGAACTTTGCGCGGCAAATGAATCAAACCTATTTAAATTAGAATTATATTCAAAATGAATATTTGTTCAAATTGAATTGATTATATGTGAAAAACCGACCGATGTCATGCCTAGTATTATTTCGTGTGTAGTATGGATGAATGTAGAAATGCTTTTTGTCAACAGAAATGGGAACATGTCCACGCTCAGGCTTATTCAATGCCATTTTCCCCAGATGCACGGTCAAGCTTTCCTTGTTTTGAAAGCAGTGGACCGCAGTTAAAACCCACCCGTTGCTGATCAACGCACAACCACATCCATATTTACTAGCTTTGTCATGTGTTTGAATTTCCAAAAATACATAGTGGGGAAATTGATTTTTCGATGCAGCGTAGCCGCCTACAATTCTCGATCGTATTTCAAACGCATTGTTGGTCACAATGTGCGAAAATATTCAATGGGTAACAGCATTCTGTCAATCGTATGGAAATACGACAACAATTTGTCTGCATCCAACATAGTTAGTTTTGCGATTATAGTGGTGCTGATATGCTCAAGTGTGTTACTTTATTCGAAGAAGATCCACACAAAAGGGAATGAAAAATATTCGTTATGATTTTTTTCTATTGAATTTTTTGAATGTATTTTACATTAC